AAGTTGTACAACGGAATGTTATCTCTCAAGCGATACCTTTTCCATTGCAAGTAAATATATCCAGACAGTAGTAGTATAAAAATTAATGAAGTGGTAAACAAGACGATTAAAGCAGTAACTGCTGGTCCAAGAATGCAGTGACAAGAATTCATAGAGGAATTAGTCGCAGAAGAATCAAAAACTGGAACACCCGGCGTTTTCTTAATTTTGCGATAAATAGGAAGAATCCATTTTGGTTGCGAAGGTGAGAGTGACACAGTTATATTGTATGAGAAAAATTCATAGATGCTTTCAGATGAATGACTAGGCGGCATACCTCGGGTTTTTAGATTTGTAGGTGCTAGTGATGAAAAGGAAGACTCTGGGAGGATTGGTGTTACAGCCATGTCAGTCAAATCAGTAGAAACATTTGTTTCATTAAAACCAATGTAATTTTCTCTTTCTTCTTTGTCTGTTGGTAATTTGGATATCGTAGTTTTATCTGCAGGTACCCGATACCTTTGCTGCAAATATGCGTGAGTAGCATGCACGTCAGATACATTGTATGGTTTTTTACTTTCATTAATATATGTTGGAATATTCTTATTTTCTTTTGGAATGCCTTTGCAGAAATTTAGGCAGGCATGTTTGCAAAGAAATACCGTGCAAGTTAAGTAAAGGTCGTTCATAACAGGCACAGCAAAAGGCTTTATTTCTGAATAAACCACGAACTGACCCATACGTGGCTTATGGAGAACGGTGAAATGCAAAATATCATCAGAATGATAGCAACCTTCTGGATCGGACATTCTGTAAACAGTTGAATTTTCTGTAACGATCTTTTCGTCACTAATAAAACAATTCTCGATTCGTATACCTTCACTTTCACTTTCGTCATAAGCGACAAGTATCAGTATTAATTGATGGCCAGAATTTTGCTCTGGCATATCCATTACTTCTATTCCAAATCTAATTTCAAACCAAGTGTTCAAACGTTCTCTACGAAATTTACTCCAATGCTGTGGGAAAGATACAAAATTATCCCCTAGATTTTCAAGCCCACAAAGAAGTGTCCTTTCAAGAATATAAGAAGAATTATCATCATCAACTTCAATAATATTAAATACATTGTAATTCCCAGATTCTCCGAATATCTGTGAACCGCAAGCTGATATGGGCAAATCTAATGTAACTACCGTTGCAGGATATTTCTCGGGAATTTGTACGCTGGAAAAGAAAATGTAAGAGTTAAAATTTACAAAATAAGACATTTTATTCACAGCAAAATTAAACTGAAGTAATATTTACTTCAAGAACCCCAGAAATCTTTCTATACCTAGAATCACGAAAACTCATTTTGTTTCCTTAGAAAACTTATTTCATTCTTCAAAATATATGAAATACATTACAACGATTAAGTAGGAAAATATAATATTCAAACAATCGGTAACGAAAATGCTTTATAAATTATTTAACACAAATTTAAAATTAAAACTTTTATGATTTCCCAGATTTATGCTAATACACATTCCTGTAATCTCTACCTACAAAGAACAAACTTAGTTTGAATCTTTAACGAAACTTTCAAGGTATAACTAACTTCTTTAACAATGGATTAAATTAACGTTCGAAAGTAATATTAAGAAAAGAGGCATGGTATAAATACTATAGTTTACAAATATTTCGTAACAAAAAGTTTGATTAATTAGACAGAAATATTTCTGTATTTTTCGGTATGCTCCTTTTCCAAGCTGAGAGAAATGTATTTATTATCGGCGCCAGATTCAGAAATGTATGCATACGTATATGTGTGTACGTATACACACACATATATATATCCATACATGAACAGACGCATCCTTCCATACATGAATGTATACATACATTTCTGAATCTGGTTCTGATAACAGAAAAGTAAGTCAGCGACTTTACCACACGGCCGCTGATGGGCCTCCATGATAACCAGAAGTTTTAATTGAAGGATTTTAAAAATCTACTATTAAGTCTAAATGAGTAATGCAGCAAAGAAGCTCAAATATCCTAGTAAAATAATTAACTACAATTTGTGCTAGTTTAAAAATTGTATAATGTTTAAATGCGCTTTACTGTGGCTTGAAATTATTACTATCATTTATATAGTTTATTGTAAAAAACATTTTTTTTAAAAAAAAGTTGTGCAGATTAAAATGAAGAATTGATTCCATTTAATTGCAACAGATTATTTACATGTTAGATATATATTAATACTAAGGAATAAACATGGTTTCTTTTAAACTAGCAAATTCAACTCACGATTCCAATTAATAACCTTTAGAATAATATTCGGTTTTGAGGGCCGTAAAAAATCGCCAAACTATTGTTGATGCCAGTGCTGCCAAAAATGATTGCGGCAACCCTAATGCAAGAAAGGAAGTATAAATAGTAAATAACTATCTAAGATTGATGTTTTAATTTAGAAAGGTTAATTTCATATAATATTTTTTATTATTATAATTTATATAAAAAAGGCTAAACATGACTGAATGGAAGCATAAGAGTAAATAACTATTTCAGATCATTTATAATTTATGTAAACATTTCTAAAGATAACTGAATGGATGCCTGCATGGCTATTTCGCTACCGAGTTATCGCTAAAGCATAGTTTCATCTCGTTGGTTGTTCAAACATAATTTCTATAATGAGTAATGCCTTTTCTTTGAATAAATTCTCGGTAAAGTGCAGAATCGCCCACTTATTTGTTTGCCTCTTTTTACAAGGGTAAAAACTATTGGATTTTTGTCAATTTTCTTTTACCTTTTAAGTGAAAATAGGTCGATGTGTACATAGGTAAAGGGTGTGCGCAGTGCCATTTTTGTGCAATTCTGGGACATTTTTTAAAGTGAAAATAGGTCGCTGTGCACATGGACACTGAGTATGTGCAATTCTTAAAAACGCGTCAAGCAGTGGGTGATTCTGCCACTTTACCCAAAATTCTATTACAGACTTTTCGTTATGGGCAATTCCCAAATCGTTAAAATTCATAGGATATCAAAAAAGGATTTAAAAATTAAACTAGTATTTTAATGGCGAAGTTTTAATGGCCTACGTTAAAAAAACGATTTCAGCGAAAAAATTCGATTTTTTTTAATTGTCCAGTTTGAAAGGTCAATTTTGTAGGATTCCGAAAATGGTTCATTTTTACGTTTATGATAATTAGAAGAGAAGATATAGCCAATTAATTGCACTGGAAGTGGAAGCAGAAACACCGAAGTGCCATTTAAAAGGCTCAACTTAAAGGTAAACAATGTTGTTATCCGTGTTTTTTTTTTTTTTTTTACCTGTTTGTGTGTAAAAAATTGTGCTAAAACATTTCATTTTAATTCTGGGTACTTTTTTTGTTTCTGGTAATAATTATTTGCTTTAATTTTTTGAACTAGGACTGTCAACATAGCGGTTTTTTGAACTGGGTCTGGCAACATTGCGATTAGGTATAAAGACTGTTGCTGGGTGCATATATAGCAGTTTTAATTTTTAATTCAGGGTATCTTGGATTACTTCCTGTGTTTGAACATTTAGGCATATCAATTGAACAAGAAATGATTAAAAATTACTTTGGAATTGATAACGAAAGAATAAGAACTCGAAACGTCATTCGTCGCTCATTTCGAAAATAGCCAGAAAAACATTAAAATCAAATAGGAAATCAAAATTACTTAAGTATAAAGATATGGAGGGTCTGATGTACAAATGTGGAGAATTTTAAAAGTGTAAATACAACAGAACAGTTTTTCTGTTAATGTGAAATCTTTAAATGAGTTTTCTGGAAAACTAATTTTTCTAGTGTTTTTACATACAAGGAATGTAATTACTCAAAATGTTATAAAGGTATCTCTATTAAATTTCACTAAAGTGTCTTCTATATTATTTACTAGGTTTTAAGCTACAATCTAAGTTATATTTATTAATTTGATTGTTTTGTAAGTATTTCTATATAAAACGATAAGAAATATTTTACAAAAAACTGTTTTTTCATGTAATTACACATATTTTAGTAAATTTTAGAAATATCATAAACATTTTAGTTCATAACACAGATGAGTGTTGTAGTAATATACAGTATAAATAAAATTGAAATATATACTGTGGGGAAAAAATATACGACATTTAACGCAAGTGTTAAATTCTCCTAAAAATGTGCATAAAATTGCATATGTTTCAAAAATTTATGAAAATATTCCTGAAAATTTACCCATTTTCATGGTTTGATATCATATTTTGACTAAATAAATATATATTTCATCAGAATTCTATGTTTAAAAAAAATGCTCCGAACGTAGACAGATACCTTAGAAATATAGAACTATATAAACTTACGTAATCTGAAATCAGTGCGTACGCTAGATTTGGCTTGCTGTTTAAATGGGCGCGTTTGCTAGATTTGGTGCTTTTGCGCATACATTTCTGCTGCAATTTTTTTACGGTCCTCTAAACGGAATAGTACCGAATTGAAAAATTAATCTCACGCAGGTCGATGTATTTGGGAAGAGTACTATGATCAATTAAAATTGTGGGCATGTTCCTGTAACAGAATAGGCGAATTTCATGAATTCCTTTTGGAATATACTCAAAGAATACCTTATTTCTTTTTCGATTCCGCAACTCAGTTTTTCATGATAAAGTACTGCATGTACAAGAAACAATCTCGTGTTCTCCGATCTTTTTCTGCAACTATGCTTTTAACCACTAGCAATAATATTTTACCGAATTAAATCTGAACACAAGTTTAGAGCGCGAAGATATGTGAATTACATTTTTAGTGTTCGAATTACTGTGATCTTTTAAATCCGCCCCTTTTTTTTGGTCGAAATGCAGGATTACACAAGCAATTCGATGGCGATGTCGTGTTGTAGCAGTTAACCTATCTCTGTTTCGGTTACGTTGCGATATTCTCTGATGCATGCTTTAAAATCATCTTAAAAAGACAATTATCAGAATCGAAGTTTAAGAAAAAAAAGTTATATAATTTTTATAACTATCATACCTGCACATTTTTGCTGAAAAGTAATCTTTTGCGTATATCGCTCCAGTGAAAGTAGTTTCAAATTTGATCAGCAAATGTATCCCAGAAATATCGCATCCCATCCTGAAATGGGGAGCTTTTTCATACCGGTGCGATGTGGAAATAGCCAGAAACTAGAAAGAAATTTCATTATTTAAATTTTACGATAAGAAGTGAATTAGGAATTAAAAGATTCGGTGAACGAATAATAATTAGTTCAACGATGAGTAAAAAATCCCAATATTTAATGTTTGTATAGATTCTGGACCTTAATTCACACTTTCTTCAGCTTTCCCATTATTGTAAAAAATAAACCAATCTTATAGAAATTTCTAATACGCTGCATGCAATGTATGTCGGCTATCCCCTTTCAATGGTCTTAGCCACTACTACTACTAAGTAACGAGGGAGAAATGGTGAATTCTTTATTTGTAGTAAAAGTCTGCACGGCAGAAAAATCAAAATTTTGAAAATTTCTTGTAGCGAATCAAAGACACTTTTAACCAAACACGTCCAAACGGACGCGGCTTAAGGAAAGAATGGCTTTGATGTATTTCAGAATTCACGATTCAAAAGCTATTCATAAAAGCACAGAGAGATGAATAAGTTTGTAATTTGTTGGCAAATAAGTCGTTCTCGCACCAAGTTTTTGATTCACAGCATAAATTTATCTTTCGACGAATCAGAGGACAAGAAGCTTGCAGATAAACAATTATTGAAAAAGTTCAATGAGTGTTCAAAGAGAAATATAAACCAGAATCCTGTTGGGATCATCAGAGAGCTGTCCAAGGAGCTAAGTGGACTCCTTCAGGAATCTGGAAAGAGTAGTAGTGCATCTCCCGCTGCATGCCAGAATAACAAACAAAGTATCAAGATCATCAGGGATACAATGCTGTTGGCAAATTTCTGTAAATATTTAACTATTATATTGTTAATATGTTTGATTGTATTCCTGCTATTCCGTATTGTTTTATTTAGTTATTTATTGCTTATAGTGAAATAATTTTAGGGTTTATATTAGTTAATTTTGTGGCCACATATTTTGTATGCATGCGCTTGTATCTTATATAGAATTGTAGATCCTTTGAATCCAACAGCTTTTAAAATGTTAAAATTGGCAACGTATTTCCGTAGCTGTGGCAGCGATGCTTTATGAAAGCTTTATAAAAACTGTTCCTACAATCAGCAGGAGTTCTGGTTATCCTAAGGAAAAGATTACATTTGTACGTGGTTCGTCTCTATTTACTTACGCTGCCTCGGTGTGATGAACTGTTTCTCTTAAAGATACATAAACGCTTTCAGACGCTCCAGATTATAAACTTGCGTACCACTTACAATGCTGCATGGTGTATTTTTGTAACATTTTGCACAGGGACCTCATTTTTGAAACCATAAATGATATGTAATCACATAATATAAAATTAATTTTAATTTTTTCAAACATGCATTCGACTCTATCACTGCCAACTTTTCTAAACATTTATTCTGAGAAATTTTGCAGATGAATTAAGCATATAGACCTCATGCGATCTAACTTCTTACACTTTATCTTTTGTTTCATGTTTTTCCCACTTTATTGGATTTTCTCAACAGAAAACTGTCTTTTCTACTTATTTGCCATTCCCTTGCTTAAGGGCCTTTAGTGATGCGATCTTCCACCGTCAGCTGAAAATGCATGAAAAAATGCTAATTGCGGAGTTAACTTGTGTATATATCTGCATATAGTTGAAGCTAGTTGTTAATCATTAATTCTGTTCCGAGTTCTTCAGAGAGATTGCGGTTAAACGAGTTATCAGAATTGCGTTTTAAAGATTATTGAACGAGTGATATCAGGAATTTACAATATTCTGCATTTTTAAGGAGGATTTGCATGTTATCTGCATTTTCGAGTTATTTACATTCATTTATTTTGTTGTGTTTTATTGTTAATTATAACAAATTTTTAGTTTCTTCCCGATCATGTAGAGTTATTTAAAGAGACATTTATGAACCCCAGAGGCGAGCCACAGTACGTTTTATAAGACAATAAATCAATACTGAAAAGAATATCCCTTTATTGTTTGATCGTTACACCCAAGCAGTTTGGCACTGGGGTTTTAATCGATTTTTCAAAATAATGGTTTTTCCTATTGGGCATAAATAAGAGATTTGCTGTAAGCATGTTATTCGAATTTTCACAATCACGAATTTTTTTTTTTTTTTTTTAATGTTCAAATATTTTTATAGTACGATTGAAGTTTTGATTTTGTGGTAGAGGTTTCCTGACTGTTGAAAAATTAAATGCAATTGTCGGAAAATATGGTTATTATGTTTCGTATCATTATCCTGATAAAATTTAAAATTTCAGAACATGCCCACGTTTTGACCATTTTATTAAAGTTTATTCAGAATATTTAAGAGTATAACTTTGGCCTTCTTATCATAAACCAAATGCAGAGGTTTCCACATTATGCGTATTCACACAACTAAGCAATCTGGCTTCTATCACCATATTTTATTTCGGAAGATTTCTCAATTCACTTGCCCTTCAGTATTCCAGTGAACGGAAATGATGAATTCAGATTTACTTAGAAATATGGCACAAAATTTCAAGGCTGATTAGCTTAGGTGTAAGTAAATTCTGATTTAGCCTTTCAATCTCCTTTCTTGACCAATGTGTTCCCCCCCCCCAATTACTCAACCATGAAATTTGTACTATCTTAACATGTTTCTCAACCATTTTTGAGTACAACGAAAATAATTCAACTTTAAAATTAGATTTGTTCAAGCTTTGTATGTTTTGTTCGCTTCATATGTAATTTTCTACTAAAACTAAAATAAAAGAAAAAAATTCTTTTCAATATAACATAAAACGGTACTTACGTATTAACGCAAGCAGGCCCAAATTCGCATAAATCGCCAAATTTGGCGACCCTACTTACGGCAAACTTATGTTAATTTATTAAAGCGAGGTGTGCGTAGTTCGTAGATTCGTACGTTGCCTACATTGTGCCATTCGTAGATGTTTTTTTAAATTAAAACATGTCGCTGTGTACATGGATTCTTGTCTGTATTTCGAACTTTAAGCCTAAAATGTCTCCAAAAACGCGGTTTTCGCACATGCAAAAACTACGTTTTGAACACACGATTCAAGCTAAAAATCCGAAAACAAAAACAAAAAATTTAGATAGCAAAAACGTAAGAGTTTCTAACCAAAAATATTTGACAAGAATCCATGTACACAGCGACATGTTTTAACTTGAAAAAAACATCTACGAATTGAACATCTACCAATGTACACAAGCTAGGCAACGAAAGAATCTAAGAACCACGCAACACCTCGCTTTAATAATTAACATAAGGTTGCCGTAAGTAGGGTAAACAAAATATAAAAAACTGTATTAAAAATTATCTGGGTTGATCTTTACATTATGGTAACTTGGCGATTTTTTGGCGAAAATTTGGCAACCAACTCTCCTACAGCAACCCTCTATTTTTTTTTTCCCCGCCGCCATTTTGTCTTCACGAAGTAGACATGTTTCTTTTCTTTTTATCTACTGAACACTTCTTCCAACAATCTAGTAGCCGAATTACACTTATGCTAGAAATTTTATCAAACAAAACAAAACTGCTTAATCATGACAATATTCACTGCAAAATTGGGAAAAAGTGCACAATACCATACTCCTTACGCGTTTTTCAAAATAACACATACACATAAACCATGTACACACGCCGACTTATTTTTACTTAAAAAAAATCCCAGAATTGCACAAAAATGGCATTGCGCACACTCTTCACTATATCCATGTACACTGCTTTTTTCTCATAAATTCGAAAAATTTCACGAAAATACATGACAATTTTCTCAATCTTTAAACCCGGTAAAAAGAACATATATGAAATTACCTGATCGCGAAAAAGTATTTACCCTTTACAAATATGAACATTTCCACATATAAAATAAATAAAATATCCAAAAACTTTTACCTCTAAATCATCTATTACATTATACACGTCACCAAACAAATACTTAGTATCAAATATTTAAATTATTTCCATGCACGTTTATTTCAACTTAAACGTATACCAAATTCCTACAAACATAAAATTCACAAAATAACTATCATTTAATTAAAATATCACTAAACCATGTACACGTCGACTTATTTTTACTTAAAAAAACATACCAGAATTGCACAAAAATGGCATTGCGCACACTCTTCACTATATCCATGTACACTGCTTTTTTCTCATAAATTAGAAAAATTTCACAAAAATACATGACAATTTTCTCAATCTTTAAACCCGAAAAAGAACATATATGAAATTACCTGATCGCGAAAAAGTATTTACCCTTTCCAAATGAACATTTCCACATATAAAAATAAATAAAATATCCAAAAAACTTTTACCTCTAAATCATCTATTATATTATAAACGTCACCAACGAATTCATACCGCAACCATTACAAATACTTAGTGTCAGATATTTAAATTATTTCCATGCACGTTTACTTCAACTAAAACGTATACCAAATTCCTACAAATATAAAATTCACAAAATAACTACCATTTCATTAAAATATAATTAAATTCAAAACAACTACTTAAAATATAAATGAGTGCATACATTAAATTAATAAAAATTACCTTACAATCCTAATTACTTTAAACTAAATCATTGCTAATAACAATTTTCCCAATAATACCAAATTCCTTTCCACCTTACATTTAGAACAATGCATAAAAATAATATCCTCAAATAATTAAAAATACTAACTTACCTAATCTTCTTCAGAATCTTGATTACGTGGCGGATACACTTTTCTAATCCATTCAATAAAATTATTGAAAGATTTTTTCTGCGAATTTTTCCTCCATACTTCCCCCCCCCCCCCCCCACAAATAAAAAGCAAACTTCTCTTTATCACAATGCCTAAATACCCATTTCGAATTCACTTTAGTTAGGGCCATGGGATCCAAAAATTAAACAACACTGTTTCACACAACACAGAATAAAGCTAAATAGAAAATTTCCATATTTTTTCCCGATTTCCCCCCTTTTCCGATTAAAGAACCGTAATTCGTCCATTAATATCACATGACATATCCCATGATCTCTCATTTCCCTCACGCAAAATAATGCGTAATCGGAACTGAGTACTGCTCACATTATTACCAAAGTCCCAGGTAGTAACCTTTATCGCCTCCAAAATGTCGCCAAACTACCAGTTACCATATTGTAAAGATCAACGATTATCTGTAAATAAATGTACATTTTCTTTCTATTCATACTTTTTTACTCAAACTTACAAATCGCGTCAATCTGGTTGCGATAATACGTAAGTACCCATAAAACTTCTATTGATCTAGTACCTTCCAGTAGCATACTAGGAAATTCCATGCAGCGATTCGGTTTAATCCTAGTATCCGGTGCACACGGGATTTGGCTACTTTTGGCGACTTTATGAAGAGCGATAAAAACGGGACATACACGATGAGTAGTAAACGGGTCATTCAAAGAATATATATAGTTGTACATAGTATATATTTAGTATATAGTGTATAGTATATACATAGACTTTTTTGGGTATTATATAGTGTAAAGTACATAGACGTTGTTTGGGTCATTTTTGGTGTTGGCGATAATTTTCAAAATCGCGCCAAGGCTGCACCGTATACTAGGATTTTACCAGCGATTCTATTCTTCGGTAACCAAACTCGCACTAATCACAAATTTAATAAAGTCGAATTACAAGGTTTTGAGATAAAGGGCAATTTTATTCCCAATTTACAAAGATTAATGATTTCAACTGTAATAGATTATCATTTATACGAAATATATATTTGGGGTCCGTATTAGAGCTATAAAAGAAGTTATAACTACTTTTAAACAATTATACATTTTATGAAACACCAATATATTTGGAAATCTACAGGATTTCGGAAACGTAGCTTATTTCATGAAGTAAATTTAAATAGACGTTTCAAATACTGTGCTTAATTTTCATTCTGCAAGTCTGATTGTGAACAGTTAAAAATTTAATGCTTCCCCCTTTATATACTCATATGAAGAGCTATTAAACCATTTCATTTATTACTACGCAGAAAAAATAATACTACAAAGAGGTTGTAATCATTATGTTAATTTTATTAACAGTTAAATTTTGAGTTAAACTTCCTTTCCTATCGCTTCTTAATTTCAATTTCAAACTTTCGGCCAGAACGTAGTTTTAGAATCACATCTGAATGCTTATGGGGAAGAGCGGTATTTACCAGATAAGTTCTACTCTTGTAGCGAGAGATACCAGATATTCTGGCTAGCACGCTTCTGCCTTTTTAGGCAACTCTCTCGTAAGCTATTATTATGCTCGGCCGTACTTCAGGCCCTTGACAGCTCTGCAGTCAATTAGCGTTAAGGGGACAACTCTGTTAGAATCTTGATATCTTCGGCTATGTCTCTTTAGTTAAGATTAGTTTAGGTAATTCTTAGTTTCTTAAGTTCAAGCCCGAGTGTCGGCTTTATTGTACAACTCCAAGGCGGAGTTCTGTTAAATCTTAATTTGAATAATAAAGGGTCTTTTAACCCTTTCCAAGTTTAAGTTTATTCGCCGTCTCACAAACTCAAGCCATTATTCGCTTACTAGTTCTTAAGATTCTTCACTTTTAACTGTAACATAGAATTACACAGTGGGGATTCCCACAAGGTCAGGCACTTCAATATCCATTAAGTTTGGTTTACTTAATTATGGCAAAACACTCGAGGGCTGTCTGCATTAGCATACATAAATATTCTTAAGCGTTAATGTAAACATGTAATTCGAAGTAGCATAACAGTTGCATAAAATTAAGTGAAACACTTTAGTTAAATATAGCATTTGCGCAATTTTAAATAAACGTCATGAATTTGAGCTGGGACAACTTTTGTTAAAAGTTAGTTGCAGAATTTATATTCATTAGCTTCAGAATGATTAGCTTCAGAATTAATATAAAGCTTCAGTTCAGCTGCTGCAGAACTTTAATTCAAGAATTTTGCACCTCTTCCTGAACACGCAGGATAATTTCAGACTGCAGCTTAATCGAACACTGGTGTATTCTAATAATTGAATGTCTAATGCTTTAAAATTGTGGAATCATTTGAATAAATGCAAATTTTTCCTTTGCAACAGCGTGAAAGATGTATAAGGATCATTATAGATATATTTTTTGAAAACATTTGTAAACTGCATTTCAGGGAAAGTAAGGAAATGGGAGATCAATATCTCATACTTCACATAACTGTCATACTTTAAAAGCTAGGAAAATTGACAGTTGCTTGTTTAATGCATTCCGATTCTAACAAGTACTTCTTTCCAGATTTAAACCTAAAAATTACGCTAAGACAAGGCAACGGATTTTAACAAAATCACAAACTGATGATTTCTAGTTTCGATTTTACGCTATCCAGAAAATATCTGGTAAACACGATATACTAAAATATCATTATCATTTGGATTTTATTATAAAGCTATCTAATTGAAAGTTAAAATGGCTCTAGTGTAGAGTTGGGTGCCCCTTCGATTAGCGACAATTTTTTGTAAAATTTTGGCGATGAAATCTCATTTCTGGTTACCATGATAGTTTAATTTTGCTTTAGTCTTCTGATTTTTTTTAAAAATTAAAATAGATTGATGTGTACATGGACAAATTTAAAGCAGTGCGCAGTGCCTAGTTTGTGCGATTCTGGGATTTTTTTTAAGTGAAAACAGATCGATGTGTACATGGACACAGAGTTTATGCAATTCTTTGACTTCTTTTGTTTTTGTGTAGCGGCCATCTTGAAATTGTGTCTTCCTGGCGACGATCTTGGCGTCAAAAAAGAATTGCCAAAAAACAAGGGGCACCCAATTGTAAACTTTTGCCGATAGTATTGCAATATCAAACATTCCAGGTAAAATTCACAGTGCCGCTAAAGTGTTTTCATATGAAATTTTATTAATCCAATATAGTCTTCAGAGGTTTACTGTGGAATAATTGCTGAATGCTGTCACTTCTAACTCCATAATCAAATAACTATTAATTCGAAACATTATCCGGTAATAGTTATCTAAGCAGTGGATAGGAAATTTTAATAACTACTTAAAAAGGCAAAGATAAGCATTGACATGCTGATTTTTTTTCCGAGAAATTTATTTGTCTGATTAAAAAGTACCAAAATCAATGTAAAGAATTTTGAAAATTTTTAACGGAAAGAGTTATGAAACACAGTACCAGAATTAGTAACGGAGTATTTAAAACAGGATTAAACATTCAAAGTAGTAAAATATTTTTAAATACGCTCAAAGAATTTATGATAGTTTCTGAGAATCTTCAGGACAGTTAAGCAAATTCTGAGCATAGAAAAGAAAACTTTATTTAATGTTTGGAAAAATTTCCCAAATTTACTTTAGATATTCAACTGAGGCTTATTTGTATGCAAGGTTTCTTAAAAAACAAAGTAATACTAAGTAACTGTAAGTTTTCAGACTTCAAGCTTGGAATAAGAAGAAATATTAATAAAACTAAAGAAATTATCATAATTGGAGCATAAATAAATACTTTGATTCAATGATTTTAAATGGCGTGCTAAAAGACAAAGTTTATTTTAAGCAATGTACTACTTTGATGTATAGTTTAATCGGAATATAAATTATTACTCAAAGCTTAGTACTTCTGAACTAAATGCATCTTTTTAAATACGGGATTCGAGCTTGAAAATAATCTCTACAGAAAATCTGTATTACTTACCAGGAGGAATATAAAAGCTGCCAATTTTAAAGTAGTGTTAGCAATTCCGTTGCACCTAAAAAAACGAAAAATAGTGGACACACAATTACAGAGAAAACAACTGCGCAAAATATGCTTCAGAAACCTAATACATGTAAACATATTATATATACACAAGAAAAACAAGTTAATGCAGTCAAAACGTACATATTAAAATGTCGAGGTGCCTGCTGACAGTGTCAAGTTAACAGACGAAACCAATAAAACAAGTAAATCAAGTTTCGCCAAGAGTTTACTTGTAAATTAAAGACACGCAGTAAATACCCTGGATAAGCAGTCTTAAATTTCTTGTTAATTACTGAAAAGGGAATGAAAAACTTACTGACTCTTAAGATAATAGGGAAAAAATATGCGTGATTTTTTTCAACTTGTATTTTATGATTTTCCTAAAGCATTCCATATTTTCTTTTTAAAGCAACAAAAATAATTTGTACACCGAGTTCAACGACTGATGCCAACTATATTATGGTAATTTTGTTTTATATAACACTAAAATCGTCGAAACTTTTTTTTTTTATATAGGCTAAATCCCAGAACACAAATTGAGACTTCTGTATATATTACAGGCAAACGAAATAGTTGTTTATCCAGTCTTTTAAGAACTAGAATGCTGTTTGTTACAGGGCATTAGTTAAATCTAACTATTACCTGTTTTTATCAGCATATATTCGCATGAAACCGCACTAAATACCAGTTCATTAAAAGTGTAAATATAAAAGTAGTATATGTTGATTTATAATAATATTAAGGACAGTTTCAATTGTTTCAAAAAATGTAGAAGGCCATACCGAATTCTTGTGGTCGGATCATGTTATGACGTTTGTTAAATTATTGTAGATTAATGTTTCTTCTTCTTAACGGTAACCTTGACACCGGTGTCTTTCTGACTAATGTGTGGCATTCATAGTTCTAAGTATAGAAGTTAATTGCGGCACAAAAGTTGTTGTTAAAAAGGTATTCGTGAGTCAAAGAAAAAGATCGACTTACACAACCTAGCAGTAGAATTGGACAGAAGGCTACAATGAATTTAAAGCTTTTGGAGCAAACCCCCCCGATTCAAAAACGTGCAGCATATGAGGATGAGTTCGTTAGGGGTGTTTAAGCCCTCGACGGCTATCTGCCTAAAGGAAGGGATGTCTTTGTGAAAGACGTTTCAAGGGAAACTGGCTTGTATGCACGTTACACATGGCAAAAGAGAGCGGGGAGCAGGGCTAAGGAGATAAGACAATTTGAATTAGTAACGGTAAGGATCGAAGCAATAAGCAGGTCGTCGCCTACGGTGTCGGGAGAATTCAAAGTCGAGTAACTAATTTCACCATGAGATAAAAAAGTTATTCAAAAATTTTATTCTTATGTTGGGGACATTAGTTGCATTTGACAATGTTGGAGAGGCAAGCGAAGAGGTTTGGTATTAAGGATATCGATTGGGTAGTTTGTTTATTAGCCCTTTTGTCCATGGAAATCATGCAGCTTATATCTAAACAACCCGAAGAAAACTACATGCACGTAAAGGATACTCTTCAAAAGAATTCAATTGAGAAACGAAAAATTTCAACTTAAGTTTATTCAACACCAACGGAGATCAGATGAAACTTGGAATGATTTATTGCTCTGAGGAATTATTTAAATGAATGGCTGAGCGGTTTAGAGGTAAATGATTTCGAGAAACTAAAGGACTTGATGGTTACCCGTCAAACGAAGCGTCAGGTCAGAAGTAAAGTCAAGGAAGGCCGAGCGGTAAAGCCGCTGGGAGCGCCCACCAGCGGCCGAGAGGTAAAGTCGCTGAACACTGGTAGTTCGGCACGGGATTCGAATAACGGCGAATAGGCTGGCTGCATGGACGGTTTCGTGGTTTTCCATGTGTGTAACTTGTATGAAAGCTAGTTTACCTTAGAAAGTCCTGCACGAAGAAAGTCCCTTCTTTTAGGCAGATAGCCCTCCAGTACTTTGCCGTAATTAAATAAACCGACCAACCAACTGAAATCAAGGAGCATTTGTCGGATGTTTGGGTAAAGGTTACCTTAGCAGCCAAGTTGGTAGATTTGCTGGATGACTACTAAGATGTTTGAGTAATTCGGAAAAAATCAACCCACTTGGAATATCAAAACCAAAGAAGAAATGAGAAAAACTTGAATCTACTAAATAGAATGTACTAAAGAGAAAAAAGGGTATGAAGAGGACGAAAAGAAATCCAGCTCGAGCAGACAAAAGTGGAGCAGTCGTGATTAGGCATTTGATTAACGAAGATATCCTAATTGTTACGAATGCGGTTCAGAGAAGCACTTACAGCTACAGTGCCCCCAAATTATAAAAGATAAAGCAGGCGTTTTAAAACCAAGTGTAGCAATATGAAATTTCAGATGAATTGTTGTCTCCATTTTTCAGGAACAAAGCCTATAAACGGCCGTGAAAGTGCTACGTTATACGGAGCGAACATCGATTTGGTGAGTGGTAATTATATCGGCTCAGAAATGTTCACTAGGGAAATATACGGATAAGGAACCCTTTGAATATGGAAACAAAATGCTTTCCGTTCACAAGCGTAATGATATTAGCATCATCCAAACCCAAGCTGTAATAATTAGAGAGGAGCTGGGTTGAGATGTATACACTGAAGAGCCAAAACATTATAACCACGGAATCAATAACGCGTCTGCAAAACAGCTACAACTCGCTTTGGCATAGATGCCACAAGTTCTTGGTAGATGACTGGAAACAGGTTGTACCAAATATTAAGCAGCTGTCGAGATAGTCCGATATAGTATTTTTGAGCTCTGAGCTGCTGCTCGATGACATCAAAAATGTACTCCATCAAGTTAAGATTCGGCAAGTTAGGTAACCAGGGCATTAATTGAAATTCATCCTTACGGTTCCCGAACCATTCCAACTCAGTTCGAGCTTTGTTGCATGGAGTTTTTTTAACACGGGACGTCTGGTAATGGTTTTGCTGGAAATATTTGTCAGAAGGATAAATGTCAGTTTCGTCGAATAATTATTTATCTTTATCAGTTATATTTTGAAATATTTTCATGAACAGTAGTGTTGCAGAAATCTGGACCGCTATTCTTACAAACAAGTACATTGAATGTTAACAATAGCTTTGTTTTCAGTGTTACAGTACAAGTCTTAAATACTGAGTTAAGCCACGAAATGACACAAATTAGTATTTTCAGGAAATACAAAAATGAAGAATATCATCAGAATGAGGAACACATTCCGGATAATTTCTCAGATAATTGATTGTATATTTCTAGAATGTACTCATTTATGTTTTATTATGCAATCCGTAGAATCTTCAGCAAACGAAGTTCGTCCCTCTCTTTCTCTCTCTTTTTGCTTTTAATTAAGTCTTAAGGCATTCTAATCGAGCCTTTCGATTCGCTTTACGAGGAACTGTCTTTCCTAATTATTCAGTCAGGAAATTTTTATTTAAATATTCTTAATAGTAGTACAATTCTTAATAATATTCCTTTGCCTTGTTAGATTTACTAAAGTCAATTTGAGTGAATTGTTCTTAGTGTTATAAATAATATTTCAGAAGTTTTCCTTTTTGCTTTTTATTCAGTTGACGTCTTATTCATGGTTTGTTTTCAATCAGGTTTGTCTAACAGTATTCCAAAAATTATATTGTGATCGCTAGATTTCAATAGAATTTTTATTATCCATATTAACAAAGTAACTCTTCGACCTTAAACTTTCTCTCTTACAACTTTAAAATCCTTCTTTTAGGCAATTTACAAGAAATGTTTGAAGATCTGGCTCTTTATCAAGTTTGTTAGTGCTTTACTCCAATATCTTTTTTTACCTTAGTTTCATATTTAAAAGTAATTTATTTAAAAGATTTCATTTATCAATACTATATTTAATTTTATTCATCATATCATTCATTCAGCATGGTATTTAGACACATAAGAAAAATATTTAGTTTTGGAATCATGATTCAACTTTTATCGCCGTATAATTGAAAGTTCCCCAGTACTTTTCTGCTTCACTCTAATCTGAAAGTGAGCCAGTCAGTGTTGTAACTTATGGCAATAACATGATGAGATTTGAAATTTTTTAAGCCTATGAATCCTTACTAAAATAAGTCGTACTTTCAATCGTAATATAGTTTGAAAGATTCCTCACAGAAATCGTATGCATATTGAATTATTTATCAAATGCCATCAATCTGTAAATAATAGTTAACTTATTTTATTTATACTTTTATTTATTGTGCTGTAAAATGCAGGCAGCATTTAAACGATAGGTATTAAAATATATAAAAATTGACCTGTTTCCCTTAAACATGAATTGAAAACTAAGTAAGAATATTTCTTGAATAAAATTTATACGAAATCAAACGACCGAGCGTTAAGATCATTGAATACTGGTAATTCGACGTTAGTTAAAATTAAGATGAATGCGCTGGCCTGCATGAAACATTTCATGATTTTCCCTATGCATAACATTAATACGAGACGGTTTCAGAGGAACTATCTTATAGGCCAAATTTAGCAGACAGACCCCGGGATTTATTGGACTTCTTTATGTCAACAGTCAATATGTCCTCAGCTCTGTCGGTTAATAACGACTTGTCATCTGATCATGCCTTTATGTTAGCATACTTGAGTGCTAATAAACCTAAAGACCTGCCTCCAGTGCAGGTGACTGATTGAGACCTATATTATAACACTGCTACGACTTCCGACCTTAACATTGGATCCTTTAAGAATAAAGTAGTCGTAGACTGTGGCATCAATGCGTTTACTAATTTTCTGAAAATGAAGCATCGCGCAGTATCTATGAGAACCTGAAGAGACATAGATTTTTCAAGCGTATCAGGGATACCATTTCAAAAGGAAGTCAATTGCATAAAGATTTTAACAAAATGTGAGAGCGTAAGATCAAAATGGAAATAGTCCAAACAGGCGCATCAAAAGCATGAATCAGGAGCATTGCACAGAAACCTGGAATGGCGAAATATAAAAATAAATCCTGAAATAAAGTTCCATTAGGAATTTGTTAAGAGTTTGAAACAAGGTGAAATCCTTAGCAAGTTCCTCACAGGTAAACTAGGTTACATCTATACGAATGAGGAGAAAGCGGAACATTTCGCCGAACATCTTTCGCAGAAATTTATCTCAAACTCAGAGTCTACCAGCGACCTAGCGGTAAAGTCGCTGAATACTGGCAGTTCGATTCTAGGCGAATGGGTTCGATGCATGGGCATTATCATGGTTTTCCCCATGTCTCATGTGGATGCGTGCCAGCTTCTCTCAGAAAGTCCTCCACGAAATTTGCTCAAGTTACCCAGTTCAAGTAATATCCAAAATTTCACTTCTCTACGCCAAGTGGAAAACATTAAGTCATTGAAACCGAGAAAAGATGAAATAACAAACAGGGGCTCAAGAACCAACCTTCCAAAATAATCTGTAAACGTACTAGCATTTATAACACTTGCAAGCAAAATACATATTTTCCCACAGGCATAGAAACTTACACATATTTCATTATATATGAAGACCCGGCAAGTTATAGAGCAACCAGTCCACTATCGACCCTTACTAAAATCATTGAAAGACTGATTTGCAATAGAATTAAGAGTAAACTTAGTTGAATCGGTGATCAACAATATGGCTTCCGCACACAGTACTTTCTACTGTCACCCAACTTATTTCAACACTAGAATTTATCGACACTAGAATTTATCAACTTTGCTATGCATAATAAGACGAGTATTGCGATCCTGGTGCTAGACGTTGCCAAAATGTTTGACCACGTTTAGCACAACGGGTCTTATTTTCAAGCTTATCAACCTGGAGCTCTCTCGTGATATCATCATGACTGTAAAACCATTTCTTGAGCTGCGAACTTCCAAAGTGAAACATGGCGACGCCATTTCAAGGACCAAGAACATTTAGAGGCCCCGCAAGGAACTATTTTAAGATAAATACTCTACGAGTATATCATCTATGTATATCATCTATGTCTATGTTCCGAAGTTTAGTACTGACCCAATATCTTGTTTACCTGCTACGCAGACGACATCGCAATTGCAGTAAAGTCCCATTTACCCGACCATGCGATGCCCAAATTGCAGAAAAAGGCTCCCAGTAAGAAAGTAGTGGTGCAGAGTATGTAACTAATATACAGCCCGAGAAGTCCCAATTTATATTCAGAGATGAAATAATTAGCGAAATCTATCTTTTTGGCTAACAAGTACCTAGAGTGGAGAAAGTTAATTACTTTTAGAATTACGCTTAACAGGTCGAAGCATCTGGAATCCCCATCCGATTTTTTTTCCTCTGTTGGAACTTCCCTTACGGACATTGACTAGAAACCGACGGATTTACACATTGGTCATTAGTCCGATAATTGCTTACTCTTCTCCAGCAGAACCCTGCAAACTAAGATCCTTCGTATGAAAACGGATGCGCCTTATTACATCAGAAATTGAAGCAGTCATTCAGATGTAAAGATGGAATACATCGCGGAATTCCGAAGCAGAATTAACAAGGAATTATTTGAAAAAGCTGCAAGTGACAGTCGATCCAGCTTTGCGGATATGCTTACGTACGAAATCTTAAAAAAAGACTGAAGAATAAAGCCGTACGCTGCACATTTTTCCTGCATTTCATTCATCATTTTTCATTCATCACATTATCTATCGAATGAGCATTCCGTTCATTACTTCACTTTTATCACAGCATCAATCCGAACAACACATGCAGAAGCAAGATACCTCTCTTTTTTTTATCTCGTTTAGTTGCAGCTGATACTTCGCTACCAGAACTTTTTATATGCCAAACTGATATATATGAGACTTTCTGAGGTCCTGGCAAGGGCAGAAAGCTTTTTACTGCTGATTACCAGATTGTAACACAATAGAATCTACGTTCAATTTATCTATAATTTGTTACATGAAAATGCAAAATAATGAGAACATATATATATACAAAATATCAAAGTACCAGCCAGTTTTCTTTAAGATTTGCTTCATGAAGGCTTCCGTCCCTCTGTCCTCATAATACTCGTACTATGCCATAATCTTATCCATCCATCCAAATGAAATCAAAATTATAAATAGAATGAAATTATAATAAAATTATATAGTCTCTTCATTATTTGTTACAAAATTTTCCTAATTTTATATGACATGTTTATTCTTGAGATATTTATCCTACTAAACTTTTGTGTCCTCTTAATTACGGTGACTTCAGTATATGTCTTGAACTTGAGAAGAAAATTGATAAAACTTGAGATGCCCGTTGCCCAGATCAGAGCCATTGCTTATAAAACTATTTAGAGAAGATATCCCAGTAACCTCTGGACCAGCATTTACATCGATGGGTCCATGCTTAAGTGAAGTACTGGAGCTGGTGCAGGAATCTATTGTAACCATTACGCATTCTATGAGGAAGTGGGAATAGATACTACCAATTTTGATGGTGAAGTTGAGGCTATATTTATTGGTTTGAATCAATTAAGCGCTCGAGAGAGCAGCCTCTCCGGCTTTGAATTGTGCCATCTGCCGGAAAACTCAGTGAGTAAATTTGAGTAACTGATAAAAATGAATTTCTAACGAAACTCTTATTTTAAACCAATCAACTTTTTTGTTAAATGCAGAATTGTTGTTCTTAATTTTCTGCAGAGAAATTTTGTCATATATACAAGTTTAAGAAAATCAAGAAAGCTTTTGTCATTCACAAAAATTTTATTCACAGCCATTTCAAATTGTATAAGATCAACTAAAACAGAAAACAAGAAAAAGAAAAAAAATTAAAGTAATCCCACTGTGTTAATATAACACAATAAAGTACATGCATAAACACGCAGTAATAAAATATAAGCATTCATACTTGAATATATTACTTTCACACATACAAAAAAAAAATATAATCAACAACATTTTACAACAATGTCAGAGATTTTTAAAACTATTATTCAGAACCTTTTTTCTGAATAAAATGAATAAAAAATGCTGGATCTTCCACTTCATTCAGGGGTTTGAAATCACCATATACATGATGCAGAGTGTTTTCACCAAATACTTCTTTCAAAAGCTTAGTGAAAGAGTCCAATTTATGAGGATAATAAGATAATCGAAAATGGCTAAAATGAAAGAAAAACGATTAAAGGTCATTAGACAAATAGCAATTTAACTCAACAATGTATTATACTAGCAACTTTAAGTATTAAAGCTCTGCATCCACTTCTCATCTGTTATTATGAAAACACGGCTTGCACATTTCTTAATTTAGTACAATAATAAACAAGCGTTAGCAATTGTATTTGATAGTACAGTTAAACTTTTATCTTCAAATAAATCAGTTAAAATGTATGAACATAACAGACAATTCAAGAAAAGAACCGCTTTAAAATTTTGAGTGCTTGCATATGAATTATTAAGAATTTTAAAGTCGAAGACACTTGTAGACTATAAATAAACACTGTCATAGCTTCAAAGAGGAAAAATTTCTACTTCAATGAATTTAAAATTCAAGATATTCAAATTCTTCTATTTTTTATTCTACTATTTTTAAATTCTCTGAAATATTTCTTAATTTTTTTCCTTCATATTATTATAATATATATAAGTATTATTTGACTATGAAAAAATGAGTCAACAATGACAAGTTTAGTTGGAATTAAGACACCTGTAGTGTGCATTCAAGCAAAAGGTGTTAGGTTTTTTAGATTGTTGTTGGAAAAGCACGCCTTGGCTATTTGCTTTAGAAGTTGTGATAACCTTCGTGGAGGCCATTTTAAAGAAAACTGGCTCGTATTCACGTTACACATGGGCAAAACCACGAAGTAACCCTTTCGCCTAGCTTCGAATCCAGATCGAACTAGCGGTATTCAGCGGCCAGCGGTCTTTAACCACTTGTCGAACTCTAGCAGAAATATAACTATAGGCTTTATTTCTTTAAATATTTGTCATAGATATGGACCTCCACAATCCATAGCTTTCTGAAATAAGTACATAATTTTGTAGCAGTAGTTTGAACAATGATGGTAAAAAGTTTCTCAGATATAAAATATAAATTTTTTATGTGGTCCTCTAGAAATTTAATATCCAGTTAGGAAAGTTCACTATACTGTAATGGCTTAAAAACGAAAAGTGTCAAGTCTTTCCCTGCAAAACTGAACGAATGCATGGGTAAACCCCGTTCCTGTGGCTAGCGGCAATGTTTTACCAAATGCAAAACCACTGATCATCAAATCTTAATTTTTTTTTATTTTCCCCCAAAATACACTCAAACTCTGTACGAAATCGCTTAGCAATTAAAATCAAAATGTGATCCAAGTAAATAAATTCAGTCACGAATATTTCCACGAATTTTGCTCTTTAAAGTATGGAACATTTTGTGCTTAATTTGTTAAAACGCAATTATCTTGGCACTAAATTGTCTGGTCCCCTAGAAAAATATAAAATATTAAATTTTATATTTTACCTAGCCTGTGGTGGCGATTTTTAAAATTTTTATTTACATTTTTTAATAATGTAATTTGTTGTTACATATGGCTTTATTGGAAAGATCAATCCAAACATATAAAACAGCTCAAGTATCACACAAGTATCACACACGTTACCGTCGATACCTACATGTGAAGGGATCCATTGAAAAACGATTGTTTTGTTGTGTTTATAAAGATATAATCTGGTATGAGATAATCTGGGTATCTGTGCCATGATTTATACCTATAGCCTGATACATAATCTAATAGATAATCTAATAATATCTGTGTCTAATAATTTAGATACATAATCTTATTTATTTTGGGAAACTTTGCAGATGGAAGTACTAGGGTGATTAATTAGAGAAACAAAATTTTAAGCACATTTTTAAAACCTTTTATATAAGGCAAAGAGCATTCTTTCATCACATGACTTCATTGCTGATATGACATATGACATCATTGACATATGACCGACATCATATGACTTTTCATCATATTCTTTTATCGTATGACTTTTGCACACGACTTTGGTTTCAACATAAGTTTGAGCGTGAAAATATCCAGGGTTGGTGAAGACTAATAGAACGCATGGAGAAGTGCTGCAGTGTCAAATTATAAGAGTTGTCAACATCAATCTGAAGCTCACTTCCAAAGTAAAGCAATAGAAGTAAAAAGATACATTCCAAAGGCAGTTGAAAGTATTTAAAAATGCATTCATATTGATATTTCTAACCTTACCAATTTTCTTTGTAAGGCAACATTATGAGATGCTTCAGAAAGGTAGCTACGAGAAGCGCCAAGCTTTTACAAAGTGACAAAATCATCTGGGGGTATAGTTAATCGGAAATTATTATCATTTGCTTTTTATTAGTTATTTGGAGGTCTTAGCTTGTCGCAGTTAACCTTTAATGTTTTACATTTTGATTAAACTTTCTTCAAAATGAAGGAAACTAGAATAAAATATATTGACGCATATTAAATATCTGAAATATTTTATAAGACTGAAAATATTTTGTCGTATCTTTAAACGGCAGTAGTTAGAAGTTCAAAGAGCAGCTCTATGACACATTTCAGTAAGTAATATTTCCCAAGTTTTACAATGAAATTGTTTTTAACAATCGCAAAATGGTCTATAGTACCAATGATTGTTACTTTACTTTCGTTTGATTCCTAACGCGCCAAAATAAAATTTAGCTTATATTAAAATTTTATTGATTTAAGAATATTAGATTGCGTTACTTAATTGCCGCTAAACACACCAAGCCTACAGAAGGACTGCCTTTGTGGAGAAATTTCTAAAGGTTTGTTTTGGTTTATTTGATTAATGGCAAAGCACTCAAAGGGTATCTGCCTAAAAGAAGGAATGCCTTCGTGGAGGACTTTCTGAAGGAAACTGGATCATGTAAAACACAGGAGAAAAAACACGAAAACACCCATGCAGCCAGCCCGTTCGCCAGAATACGAAACCTAGACTGAACTACCAGTTTTCAGTGACTTTATCGTTAAGTCAAAAAGCTTCTAAAGTAAACTGGATCGTATTCTTGTTACAAATGGGGAAATCTACGAAAAGTTCCATGCAGCCATCTAGTTCGCCAGAATTTGGACCTAGGTCGAACTACAAGTGCTCAGAAATTATTTGTAGTCAACCACTGGCGAACCAGATTTTAGGAGAAAAATATCTAAATATTTTTTTAATATTAATCTAAAAAAGGATAAAAGCTCTGTAACCTCTGGTAGTTTATAACTGACATGTTAGTTAGCTATACGTCGTGAATGAAACACACAACTCAGCTGATTTAAAATTTCTTAATTTTGATGGTAGAGAGCAACATCCTTTCTTTTTATTTCGCCATTTCTTTCGTTTAATTTCATGGCAGAAAGCGACACGAAGTGGCTCTTTTCTGACTCATTATTGTTCATTTTAAACTCATTATTTCTGCCCTCATTACTGGCGGCTGGGATGTTTCCTTCTTAGCTACAATCCAAGAGCATTCGGAAACTGATAATTTTGACTATTCGTGATAAGTTCTCCGAAGCATACCTTAAAAGATTTAAGTTACAAATTCTTCCTTCAGTGGAGATGGTACTGATGTTCTACAACTGGAGCTCTTCCTTGGATTTCTATGGATTTAAATCTGCGCGTGGGGATTTTATTAATATAGTTTAATTTAAAGTTATGTTTTTAAATTGAGTAATGTAGTTGAAAACTAGGGAAGAACCCACAGAGTTAATCCGTTGGTCGGAAAATTGAATGTAGTAAAACAATTATCATTGCTAAAATAAAACAATTATCATCTCTACCCAGTTTTAGACCAATCGGCCACAATCGGGCTAAGGAAAGGAACTAATATTTTCTTAATTAGGTGCCGAAAGATATATTATTCTGCTCAAAAACGTCATTAGAAATCGGTATCATTTAGTATAAACACATCAACTTTATGCAGCTCAGCTGAAAATTATTGGAGCTGAGAAGTAAAAGCTCCGAGCTATCTCTTCTGAAAGGATGCTAGACAGAAGTAAAATTTCCATTACTTTAAACGTATCTTAAATATTATTTTAAATTTATAAATATCTTTCTTATAGCAAAAGTGTCTGATTCCGCTTTGAAAATGCGTTTAAAACAAAAGATTTTAGCAAGAAAAGAGACAGTTAATGAGCGAATCAAAGTAAAATCTCGATGCAAACAAGAAATGAAATGGCAGCTTGCGGAAAGTGGTGTGGAGTAGTAAGGAAAAAATATTATCGTAATTTCCTGAAGAAACGCCGCGGCGTTTACGTGTTTAAAACTTAAATTTTCAGCGGGTGCGGCGTTTCTACCCATGCGGCGTTTAGGTGCACTAAAAATAAAATATTTCTTATGATGGTCATTGTACATAGTTTGGATGGCCTTGTCATTGTGCATAGACTGGTGCTGTTCCCACACAAAAGACCACTCAGTTGCTTTTTGCGAACGTTATTTTGTTTACATTCTTTTCCTTGAACGGACCTACATGCCTTATTCACCCTAAACGAGATCTCAGAACAATAACATTCTTCCCCCTTTCAAATCAACATTCTCATCAGTTTGAATAGTCTCTCTCCTCTGCCATTCGATGAATCTTCCAGGACCCAACCTCTCCCCACCCCTGCCTTTTCTGCAATTTTTTTCAAAGGCGGACACGACTCCACCTGTCTCGCAATAACGAACTCTGACGTATTTTTTCTTCAGCATGAATGTATTTTTCTTGGCATTCTGCCAAATACAGATCCCATCAGTTTGAGTACAAGTACTTGTTGAATAGTTTTTAAGTAAGAAGGGAGCGGAAAATTTTTGAAAATGTCTCTAAACGGCACAGAAGCTATACATTTCTTACCTTTAATTTATTTTTGAGTTATGGTTTCATTTCATGCATTTTTCTTAACTGATATGTCATATATCAGGACTTAGGTTGGGTTTTTGCTTCTATACGGCCCACGACGATGTCACGCGCAATTTAATCTTTTGCGGCGTTTCTGTGTAATTTTAATTTTTTTCCCGCCATTTTTCTCGAGTGCGGCGTTTACGCTGATGCGGCCTTTCTTCCGGAAATTACGGTAACAGCGTTCAGAATTTCTGAGTTATCCATCCAGGGTGTTGTAATTAATACATTCGATTTTATTTTTAAAAAATAAAACAAGGGTCGAATGGCTGAAACTGCTACATATTTATACTTCGGTTAAGGTTCTTTTCCCTGAAACTGGCTACACGTGAGAATATCGTGGTGTAGAGACATTAGGTATTTTTGAAGCAGGAGATGTGAAAAATGAGCAGGGCTTCGAACCACAGACCTCTCGAATACACGCTGAGTGTGCTGACCACTACAACACGAAGGCATGCTAAGGAGACGGGAGAAATACCTTATAGCGGTTTCACTCATGTCTAACGTAAACACAGACAGTTGTTGAACACGTTCTTAGAAAATATCAATTCCATAAGCAAACTCATAGTCTTAGACAAATCCATAATCAATTTTGAGCAATGACATTTCATACTTACTCAACTGGTGTGCCGTGGTAGCGTCCCTTCTTAGTGTATTCACTATCAGTATGGTCAAAGCTACCGATAATGTCAGAAATATCCATCGTGTAATCCAACATAACCATTGTAGGCTTTTCACCAACATAGAGTATAGAAGTCTGGATATCCTTTATGTGTTTGCTCTACAAAAGACAAAAGGCTTACTACTAAAATTATTTTAAAATAAAAAAATATGTATATAAGAATACAGACAACTTCTAGAAAAGGCAATTAATAAAGCTTGAAAATGATTAAGCTTAAAATTTCAGAGATTCGGAGATAGGTTCAGGTGGGAATGTCTTGCTTTTGAAAGCATTTCTTGTTAGAGTAATTAACTCTTCGTTCTGTGCTAAGATTTTAAAATAAATCTTTATTTTCCCAGAAAAACCAGATACTTATTCCTCGATCATTTAACTCCATTAATTTATGAGTCCACTTCATAACAATGCAAGATTTATGCTCTTTATGTACCCTAACAGCACAAATCCTTCGAAAATGTATGTTATTAACTATTTCAAATATCTCTACGCAATAATAAAAAATATATCTTATTAACAATAAATTATTTTTAATGTACAAAATATTCAACGTGTAATTTAAAAGACTAAGTACTCCGTGTACTTAATTTTATGATAGTTAAGTAACAACGTAATTTTTAGAGACAATATTTAAGCAAAGAATTATAAATGTTAGAATTAATTCTTGTTAATGCCTCATTACTAGCAGAATATCTGTCTGACAGATACTGCCTTTGTCTGTTTTGTCTTGCAGAAAATTATCAAGAACTTCATTTAAGGTTATGGAAGGAAAATTAAAACTACATTATATGCATATCATCAACAAATAAAACATTTATTTTAAAATTTTCAAAACTAAAATTAACTTGCGAAATCAAAGACGCAGTAGTGAATAACTCGTTCATTAGATAAGCTGCTTGGTTTGGTTTGTTTTGATTTACTTGATTATGATAAAGCACTCGAGGGCTACCTACCTAAGGGTAGGGATGCCTTCGCGGAGTACTTTCTAAGGGAAACTGGCTCGTATAAACGTTACAGATGGGAAAAACCACGAAAATGCCTATGCAGCCAGCCCGTTCGCAGGGATCCAAACCCCGCATCGAACTTCAAGTGTCCAGCGATTTTACTGCTCGGCCGCTAGAGGGCTCATAAAGTTGCAAGGAACGGGATATTGATAAATAATTCGAGAGCTATTAAGTAGCAGATCTGGACTGTAAATTACTTATAGCTAATTGGAAACTGCAGTTTATATGAAAATATTTCATGGAATATTAAGACTTCCATATTCAGCCGAATTCAACTAAAGCATTAATTCAAGTGGTAATTTTAAATATAAAATTATTCCAATAGATATTATTTCCAATACAGCTGTGTCTAAAGAAATTATAATGCAATAAGTCTAGCATATTTTTTCTATAAATCATTCATTTATGAATATGATATTTTATCCTTATAAATAAAAGGATTTCTTTAATTATTGTTTAATAGTTTAGTGCAATGGGCAAAGCACACGCGAGTTATCTACTCAAGGGAAGAGTTGGTTTCATGGAAGATTTTCTACAGAAACTCACTCCTATTTATGTTGTGCAATGGGAAAATTACGAGAAAGCTCACGTGGTCAGCTCCTTCTCCGTTTCCTCTAAACATGGGTGAACAAAGGACTGAGACGGGTTGAAATTATCAACCCTTCTCAATCAATCTTTTAAAATTCGACCCAGCTGTCTTAACCCTTTCCGGCACGCTACTTTTTAAAGTCGGAGTTTTGATTTAAAAAAAAAAAAAAAAAAAAAAAAAAAAAGGTAGGCAGTCTAATTAGGCCTAGAGGAGTACACAAGTAAAATTTTGTGAAGATAGCACTTATCGTTTTAATTCTGTGGGTGTGCCCAAAGTGGCACACTGATTGGATAAAGCTTCGAAAAGAGTGCTGAAACGAGCACTGTTGTCAATGAACTGACCTATGAGATGCGGAGAAACAAAGAATACAGACTCTCAGTTGTCCTAGATTATCGGTGAGCCCGGTCTGGGCACACCTAGAGTTCGCCGTTTGATTTTAGGCAAAATTTCAAGGTAAAAATGTAAAACTAATTTAGAATAAGGAGATTAGCATACAGCCAAAAATAACATAGAATTTCTTTTCAAACAATTCCTTTTACACCCTAAAAAAATCTGAAAGATTTCTTTGAAAAATGAGGGTTTTAAAAAACTAAACATGGCTAAAATATATGGACTGGTTTGTGTTGAGCTGCCATCTGCTGTAAATAAAGAAGGTTCAAAGTAATCTATAGTAACCTAGAAATCGTTTTTCATTCAATTTTTCTGTGCGTACAGAAGGAAATTTTTAGGTGTGTCCATACCGTGCCGCAAAGAGTTACTCGGCTACAGGCTGGTAATTATCAAAGAAGGATTGCTTATTTTAACGAGGGCACTCGAGCGTTTAGCCTATATTCAGTTAAACAAACAAAGCTTATTTTAATTATCTGGAAATGCAAAACGTTGCACAGTTTGAATTCATTTCATGCAGAAATTAGCGCAACCACCTTAGTAGAAATCAGCAAATTGTGACAAGCATGTGCATAACAATTCTTCAATTTTTAAGATGTAATGTTGCCGATTTCGTAAGTTGTTCGATTTTCGTTCGTTGCGCTTGCCAGTTAAATATATTCAAGTTAGCTGATGAACCTATTTTGGGAGAAAATGTCCTTCCCGTGTTAGGGTATGTATAAATGGCTAATACTTAGTTAATCTGCCTGGTAAGGCTTGAGTAAATATTTATTCTAGAGATCAAAAAGTGCCAGATACGGCTCGTGTGTACCCTGAAATACTGTAATAAATAGGTAAGTGATTTATCCAATTTGTTAAAAAAATGTGTTACTAAAATGAGAGCCAGCTGCTCTGAAGATAAAAGTATTATTAATATAACATTTTGTCTACTCTTCTTTTTAAATATCTTGTGTTATTTTCAGGCTTTACGAGCAGTGGTGAACAAATTTTATTAATTTTAAAGTACTTGCATATTACTGCAATCACTTTAGTTGAAGTTTTAGAGTTTTCCAACTCTAGTACTTCAACTATTTGAGTTGAAGTATTGAGTTGAAGTTTCACTATTTGAGTTTTCAAATTTTCCACCAGCCAAACTATAGCTGCGCATAACCATTCTTCAAGCAACCACGCTCGTAACAATCCTTGTCAAGCAACTCGACATTTTCCTATGCGTTTCTTTTTGTTGTAGTCAAAGTTCAAACGGTTGTTAGTCTTAAACAAGTGGTGATATTTTTTTATCTTAAATGAGTATGAGTAGTATACCAGGCCGAACACCATTGTGTGTATATGTTCTGGCTAGATAAACAAGACGTATTTATAAGTTTGCACGTATGCCACTAGTATCAATAGCAGAATGTAGCGGTTTAAGATTGCTGACGACAAATGTGGCACCAAATATAGAAAATTTAATGTCGTTATATCATGTTCAGCCCTCTAATAAGATTATATTAATTTTTTCTAATATATATTTGTTAATCAAACTTTGAGCGATACACCAATATGTTAATACCTTTTAATAAAGTAAGTTAAAAAATCTATTTTTGGTTTTCAATATACAATATAGTATGTTTCAACTAAGAAGAACACCCTCGAATAACTGTTTGAAAAAGTGGGCTGTGATTGAAATAAGTTTAAAACTATAGGTTATGGTACTTGCATGTTATCGTAACTACCTTAATAGAAGTCCCCAAATTTTCAGAATGGCCAGACTCTGGCAAACATGCAGATAACTATTTTTCATGCAACCAATGCTCATAATAGTTCTTGAGTCAAACAATGTCGCCACTTTCGTATGCATTCATTTTGTTGTATTCCAAGTTCCAATTGTTTTCATAAATACCCTTTTTGGTACTATTCCGTTTTGAGGACCGTAAAATATTGCATCGAAAATGAATGTGCAAAAGCGTCAAATCTAGCAAACGCGCCGATTTCAAATTGCGTAAGTTTAGATAGTTCTATATTTTTTAAAACGCCATTGAAATACTAGTTTCATTTTTTAATCCATTTTTGGTATCCTATGGAATTAAACAATTTGGAAATTGCCCATGACGAAAAGTCTGCAATAGAATTTTTTCAAAGAAAAGGAATCATTCATATCAGAAAATTATGTTTGAACAACCAACGAGATGAAATTAACCTCTCGCGATAACTCGGTAGCGAAATTGCGATGCAGGAATCCATTCAGTTATATTTAGCCTTTTTTTATATAAATTATAATAATGATCTGAAATAGTTATTTACTCTTATGCTTCAATTCCGTCATGTTTAGCCTTTTTTATATAAATTATAATAGTAAAAAAGTATTATATTAAATTAAACTTTCACCTAAATTAAAGCAATATTCTTTAAATAGTTATTTACTATTACACTTCCTTTCATGCGTTAGGGTTTCCGAAATTATTTTTGGCAGCACTGGTCCATTTTTTACGATCCTCAAAACGGAATAGTACCAAATTGGGATATTTTTTTACCATAAATTTGATTTTAAAATATGCGTTTGTAGAATCTGCCAGCAGTGAAAGAAACTGCTGTCTGCAGGAAAACGTTATTTTGCCTCAAAATCGCTAAAGACAGCAAGAAGGAGATCCTGTGTACTCTGGAAAAAAAAACAGCGAAAAAAAAAATTACAGAAAGATTTGGAAGTGAATTGTATGTGTTTTTTTAATATCTCACGTAATCCTTATTTAACAATTAAAATTTATACTTTAATAGCTCAAGTATGATGACTTCTCATATGTGCATAATGTTTCTTACGATAAATATCGATATTCGAAATATTTTTTAAGAAATTGAGAAAACTCACCAACTTGCACCCGATACACAACTGTTACCTTTTCATCTGTAAAAAATTGCCGCATTGGACCAAGGTGGTTGCCTTAATACGCAAGTACAAGTTTTAGCTGTATAACTCCTATACTCTGTAGTAGTAAATGTTTTAATTGAATTCTGTTTATCTGTGATATCTGAATTTTGAGAAAAAATAACAGTGCTAATGCAATGGCGGTGAGCAACATCAGGCTAGGTTTGTTAAGCCTAACAATGGACAAATTTATCCTAATATTGTACTCATTTTTGCTTTCAAAAATGATATAGCAATAAATGAAGTTTAATCTCTTGCAAGTTTTAGTTCATTCGTCCTCATTTGAGTGCGAAACGTTTCACAGTCGAATGACACAATACAAAATTTAGATTACAAGCTAACTCTTAATAAGCCAAGGATAACGAACTGAGGCCTTTCGATTACACGTGAAAGATAAAGCATAGACAGTGATACGTGGCGTGATTCTCAGAGGATATTTTGTGTGTCGATCTGCAATATAAGATAACAAGTATAAATTTTAGTTTGTTCTTCTGCTCACAATTTCAATCAAGATAGCGTCTAATACTACTTACGTTGTAATAAATGCTTTTAGCTGGTGTTTTTCCATGCTTCAGAGTATAGTCGTAGTTTCTGTGGTCAATTAGGAGATAGCCATTTGGTTTTATCATTTCATGGAAGTTCTGTATAGCTAGCTTGATGTCAGACATATCACCTTTCAAATCAAACAAGTGGGCAAAAGAATTTCCCAAGCATATCACGCAATCAAAACCTCCATCAGGCTTGTGGATATCCTCCGGCAACGTTAACCAGTTAGCTTCTTCGATCACTAAAAGTGTAAAAATACAAACATAATTTTTTTTGAAAATAATTAATAGAACATTTTTAAGAGCTACAAGTTAAAAAAGGTTGCGATTAGAAAATTATAACAGTTGTGTTGACACGAAATGTTAAGGTACAATGGCTAGTGGAAAGACTTCGCTGTTCAACTTTCTTTCCGTTATCATTTAATGCGTAATATTACGACTACTAATATTGTGACTTTTGAAATATTTAGACATATTTCCAAACTAAAATTTTTAGGAAAGGAATTTTAGTAACTACTCACAAATTGGGCTTTTTTTTATATTTAGATAGTGTATGACCCTGCAAAAGGCTTTCTGAGAAAACGCTGAACATCTCAAATGAAAATATCGCTTTTCTGGATATTTAATTTAAGTATCGCATTTATTCAGCACAGCAATATTTCCTAAATTTCTTAACATATCTACTTTTTACAATAGAAATTTATTTTAAAAAAAGAGAGAAAAAAAAGGCTGGAACAAAATTATGTAATATAAGGAAATAAATACATATAATTATTAATAATTAACTATTTAGAATTAATTGATAATTATAAATAAATGTAATTAATTATATCGCAAAACAAAAGACTTCAAAAGTTTGAGGGAGCCAGCATTTATCATACGCTTATACAGTGTGGATATTTATCATGTATATTTGAGAAAGCGACAACCTTGCAGAAGCAATGCTTGATCTGCTTCCGCATGATGTTTCTGATACGTATACAAACTCGAAAATATATCACTGAAGATTATAAATTAAGTCTTATTTTATAATACCTGTAAGCTTAAATTTTATAGTAGAAAAGTCCCTAGAATTATCCTAAATTGCTATGCGCCTTCAAATAGTTTTTATTTACTAATGGGAGTTTGTCTATTAAAGAAACTGTAGCATGGTAGTGGGAATAAGGATGTAGAGCAAAAAGCGCAGGAAACTTGCAATGCATTATCAAAATGCAATATGAGCAGAATAATACCCACTCCACAAATAAGGTGAACTTTCTCAAGGTCATAGACCGCTCCTTCTCTGCTTCAACTCCAAAAGCATTTCGTCAACAGACATTTATATCTGCAGAGAATTAAGGTTTGGTTTATGTGATAATGGCAAAGCCTCGAAGGCTATTTGCCTAAGAAAAGGGATGCCTTCGTGGAAGACTTAGTAAAAGGGAAATTGGTTCATATACAAGTTACACATGGGAAAACCACGAAAACGCCCATGCAGCCAGCCTATTCGCGGGATTTGAACCTCGGACCAAACTACCAGTGTTCAGTGACTTCACCGCTCCGTCGCTGGTGGGAGCAGAGAATTAAGAAAAGGTTCGTATTATCTATTCAAATATCTAGTAATAAAGGACCTCCACATTCGCCACTCGTTGCAAATAACACCCAGATATATAGCTTTCCTCGTAAAAAGTAAAGAGCACAAAGTAAACATCTTCAAAATAATGATTAAATAATACTAAACATAAAAATAAACTTAATGTCACTCCTGACGAGGTATATGCTCCATTCGACATCAGTTCCTAATACGTTCAACAATATTCCCCTTTGTCCTGCCCTGAAGTTCCCTACACGCATAATATACATAAATCATTAGCTTCTCTTTCATAAGTTACTCCTACATCCCCATGAATGTAAAATGCATAGTAATCCCATACAAACATTGCACCATCACGAGTACTAGTATCAGACAGTACTCGTCACAAGTACTTGTTCTCACGACTCTATCAAGCTCTAATGCTTGAAAGTAATGAAATCCGAAAAAGCATTATACACAATGAAAATTGAAATCGAAGGGCAATATTTACTGATGCCAATGTAAAGCATTACTGCTTCTGTCTAATCTCAACCATCAATTATCCAGCAGATTTCAATTCACATTTTGGTGTACGCAGTTTGGTTTACAACAGTTTATGAATAAAAGCATTATAGTTATAAAATTAATTTTATAGATTAATTCAAAATGCTTTTGCATATGACTTGGTGATATTTGAAAAATATCGGAAGCTAAAATTCGCTCACCCCAAGAATCAAATGCAGGTTCTTTCCTGCGAATCCATCTCTGCTTGAGTGCATACTTCAGCATCTTGTCACTGGCATCGACACTCATCATTTGAAAACCTTCCTCTAAAAGCAGTATAGAATCAATCCTAAAAGAAAAATTTCCAAAAATGTAAGGCAAATTAGAAGTTCGTCCATAGATGTAGAGATTTGTTCACACAAAACCTCTGCATTTTATCTAATACACAAAAGCATTCACAAAGTGCTAAGTTGCTTAAATCAAGTGAATGCTTAAATCACCCTAAATGCTTAAATCAAGTGAAAACCTGAAAAATATAAACACCTAATAAAAGTTAAGGAATTCGTTTAGTCTCTTAAAAACTGTTGCATTACATCCAAATCTTTTCACGTAGTAGATTCCTTCCATGCAAAAGTAATCCCCTTATTTCTAAAAAATTGTAATATAAGAATTTCATTTGGAACTTTTTTGTTAATGAAGCTCCCGTCGCCAAACGTGAGTCAAAGCACAAAATACTGTAGCACGTTGTTTAATGCATGCAATGTCAAAGCTGTGTATGGTGTAAAATTTGTGTAATTCTCTGATGTTTTTTAAGCGAAAACAGATCGTTATATATACACAGGGAGAATAGTTTTATTTCCCCCATATACACAGTCATCTATTTTCATTTAAAAACATAAGAGAATTGCACAAATCTTTCATTGCGCACATTAAATCGAATTTATTCTTCGATTTTTGTGTTTTTCTGGATTTAATAAAATGGTTATATTTTTAATGAAGCTTTATGTTATACATAAATTTCGTGAAAAGAATAGCTATTATTAATTATACTACTCAAATCGTTGAAAATGATTGTAAGGCTATAGCTAGAGTTACTGCCGTAATTTCGCGACAACGTTTGCGCTTGTCAAAAAGTGATGCTCCGTTAACATAAAAGTAAATTCTTTTAATCACCCGTCCATTTTTATACTATTGGTTTATTACTAATTAAGATGAAGCACTCGAGGGCTATCTTCCAATGGGGAAGGGATGTCTTCGAAGAGAGCTTCCTAAGGAAAACCAGTCTGTATGAACTTTTGGGTATAAAGATACTGCTTAGAAAGTACTTGCATTTAGCTCAACCGTATGACCACCCTAAAAAGGTAGTAGGAAAATGGATTAGTATTCATGACTGAGGTTCAAGGGAATAAATGTGAATGATTTACTTGCAGCTTATTCTTAGTCATATAATAATAATCAAAAAGAATAATGAGCTGCTGAAATCTGATTTTAGACAGAAGGATGAGAGTTTATCTAGATATTACCCGATTGTTTAAAATAATGGAATTTATAACCAGCGGAAAATTCCGATAGACTGAAGGATTTAAATTCATTCATTCCTAAAAATGAAAACTGCGTTATATTACTATACACACGAAATTATATCTCCATTTTTTTAACTGTATAAAATATTCTCAAATAATAGTTCCCTATTATTTGAGAATATTTTATACAGTTAAAAAAGTAGTATAAAGTAGTATAAAAGTAGTATATACGAAAAATATCTATATTTTCGTATATACTACTTTTATACAGTATAAAAGTAGTATATACGAAAAGGAGCTGAATTAATATTTAAAAATTAATTGGGCCGTTGGAGGGAAGGGAAGAAAAGGGTTTAGATTGTCTGCTAATAATTTTCTTCCCGAAATGGCTGGATAAAAATTATCTGATGAATTGTTAAACCATTGAATTTGATATATATAACTAAGACAACATATATACTTCAGCAAATAATTGAAATGCTTTTGAATCATAACTCTACTTTAAAATGCAAGTAACAAAGATGTCACCGAAAAACAGGTTCTAAGAATTTTTTTAGCTCTGTGGATAAAATTTGCTAGCGTTGGCGTAATAAATTTCCTTCGAAAACCTAAAAACATATTCCCAGTAAATTTATGACGAAAAAAAGGAGCACGAAAGCCTTGCAGAATGTGTTTATTTTATCAAATAAACGGCTGATATTGTATACTGCTAATATTAATTCCGACTAAACCAATATTGAAGTAGCTCCAATGTATCATGCATTGCAATAAAAACTAAATTACTAGAGCCCATTTTAACGGGTTATATTAAATTAGATTAATTAAGTAAGGCAAAGCAAACTCGAGCGCTCTCTTTGTCTTTGTGGAACGTTTTATCAGATAAATACATAATACTTATCGTGAAACTATTCTGTAAAATCAACCAGATAAGTATTTTGCACGCACAGAGAAAAATAGTGTCATTCCCTGTAGTTGCCCAAAGCTTCAAGGGGCCCACCAGCGGCCGAGCGGTAAAGTCGCTGAACACTGGTAATTCGGTCCGAGGTTCGAATCCCGCGAACGAGCTGGCTGCATGGGCGCTTTCGTGGTTTTCCCCATGTGTAACGTGTATAGGAGCCAGTTTCCCTTAGAAAGTCCTCCACGAAGGCATCTCTCCCCTTAGGCAGATAGCCCTCGAAGCTTTGCCATAATTACACAAACCAAACCAAACCAAACCCAAAGCTTCAAGACTACCAGCTACCAGCAATCGGCAGCTGATGAGCGAAGTAATTTACCAAATTACTTAGCTCATCAGCTGCCGATTGCTGGTATTTCGGTCCAGCCTTCGGACGAACATTCTGGCTGCAAGGGCGTTTTCGTAGATTTCTCTATGTGTAACTCATATTTGAGCCAGTTTCCCATAAAAAATCCTTCCCGAAGATATTCCTTCTCTTAATCCCTCCCCCTCCAGGCCTTTGCCATAATCAAGTAAACGAAACCATAAACCAAAAAAATATCATCAGAAATAACTCATTAAGAATATCACAAAAACTGAGTTGAAAGAAAAGTTATGAAGACATAATTGAATGGAAGGTTTAAGGCTGATTACTACAGTTAACGTACGACATTATTTGCAAAGGTTTCTTATCAATAGTGATCAGTATTAAACGTTTTCGAGATAACGTTCAGTGATGTTAGATTTATTCAGTTGCCAAAAGATAAAGGTTGTGAAGAGCTGAAATAAAGGGAATAGTGTTAGTCCTCTGTGACTACCTTTTCAAAATCATGGTTTCGATCGAAAAATGTAAAATAGTAATTTCTTTACCCAGTTGCTGCTTAATTTATTTCTCTCAGTTTTCTAAAACAAAGAATTATTTTAGCTTGATTTAGATATTAATAATTTTTCAAAATGCAACAGGCTGATAAGAAATAAGATTTACATAGCTCGCCATACATCAAAATAAATTTTAACGCTAGAGCTCAAATGCATTTTTCGAAATTTTTATTCAATGTTAAGCTTTTATAAATCACATCAAGTTTAATAAACGCATAAATAAATAAATATACGAATACTGAAAGATGTATATAAAAGTGTCTCATATTTTTTAAATCTGCTTCCGGAAATTTCTGATTGATATTATCAGTAAATTTTCTTTGCCTTTTTCATTAAATACGACAGAGGTTAATTTTCACTTTTATAGATTTGGGTGCGTTTTTCCTGTTATAAAAATTTTATTCATTATAAAATTTGACATAGACAGATTCTTATGTAAGGAGTATAAACTAAAATTTATTTATAGATCATTTCTAACTCACACAAGCAGGTTTTTGAATAAATCATATTTAGATGAATATTTTTCAAACTAAAATTACAATCAAATAGTGGTAAATAAATCTGAAAGAAACAATTATTACTTTGAAAATTTTTTGCTTTAAGAATAGGCTGAAATTTCAGCAAAATGCAAAATATTTTATTATAAAATGCCTTTTAATTTTTCTTTATGCATGCTTTCAATAAATTTAAAATGAAGATTTTAAAATATGGAAAGCACTTGAAGCAGGCTATAAAAATTATTCTGGAGAAAATTATCATTAACATATTGTAAAATGAGCACTTTATTCCCATTGCTAAGCTTTGTTAAACTGAGTATTTATTTTTAAAACATTTTATCACTAAATCCTATCATGTTGACAAATTTAAATCCTAAAGAAAAAGTAAATTTTCTTAGTCATACATAAATAAACAATAAAAACATAAGCAAAACAATAAAGGGTCTTGGAAGATGAAGCCTTACCCTGTACCGCAGGCGACATCTAGTAAATGCTTGCAATTATGTTTCCTCAAAAGTTCAAGTAAAAAGTCTTTATAATGCTTAGTACGATCATTCTTTTCTCCTATGTAGACCTCCCAAACTTTTGCAGCTTTCCCATCAGCATATTGATCAGGCAGACCTTCTGTAGCAACCCCCAAGGAACGCGGACGGAATATAGTATCGACCATTGCTAACTACTTTCGTTATTAAACTGCAGCTGCTTAGATTTCAGTCCTATTCTGTCAGGATTATGCCACCTGCGGAAAATTCAGATGTCAGTCGTGAAGTATGGTTTAGTGGTTGATGCTCTGACATAACTTCTTATTTCCATTTTTATAACAATCACTTGCGTCAGCTTGTTTACAAGAAAATATTAAAATCTTATCTAAAAATTGATAAAAGATACAAAGCTCTGTATTAAGGAGATTCTTTTTTGAAATCCGTAGAAACGGTTACCACGGCAGGCAACAGAAGGAAAAAGAAATGGGGATTTAAGGGGGGAGGGGGAGATTGATTTTTAATAGCGGTAATGGTAACTGATACGTCCGCAAAGAGAAATTCGTGATAATGACCCGTTATCATACAACATAACCTTGAAGCTTTTCTCACGACGTGTCACAAGACCAATTCTTAACAGTTGAAGTGAAATCGTGGATTGGAAGCGCAGTTGATCGCAAAACAATGTCGATTATTTTTTTTTTATCTTCGTTTGATTGCGCAAAGTGACAGTGAAGAATGAAGTGTTGTTTTTTCTTTTCAAAGTACTTTCAAAACAGTTTTTAATACATTGCAATTTTTTTATTTCAAATATTTTTCAGTTCAATAAATTTAAATATGTATATATATTTCTAATTTTTCATGTTAACTTTTTCAGCATTACTTTCAAATTTCTAATTGCAGCAGTATTAAAATAATATGCATTTCATTCATCTAATGCACCACTAGTCATTTGTATATCATCTTAGTTGTTTTTTGTCATTTTACTTTGGTTTCTTTTCTTCTTAACATTCATGTATACTCAGCATGTCCCAATCCATCGACTGTGCCGTTATTTTAATTTCATAATTTATACATGATGAGGCAGCTTCACCATGTGTATGGCGTATCACAACTTTCCACGTTATGCACCAATAAATTTACCATACCATACTATCGAAATAATACGTTTTGATATTACCTTGGCTAATTTTAAGGAAAGTTTCAGCTATTTCAGGCTAAAAACTACAGATATAATAACAGTTTGTCAATTTATATAGCAAAGTATTAATTTTAGCACTTTTTGCAGATCTTAATGAATTTGATGATACACAAAAGCTAAGGAATATTAGGCAGTCGCATTTACTTTTGTGATACATTATTCATTATACCTTTATAATACGTGTAATTTCGTTAAGTATAAAAATGTGTAGTTTTATTCAACATGAATAGTTTAACTTATAATAAAAATCAAATGTAAATCAACAAAAAGATATCGAAAGCAATTTTGTAACGCATGTTTTTCTTTTTAACATTCTTAAAATATTTTTTTTTTTTTTAAGTTAAGAGTAATATCTCGTTTCCGTATCTCCATGTAAAACTATTACATCGCTATAATACGTCGCTTGCTGTAGAGACTTATATTCATTTAATATGCTAACTGCTGTGCCGATGACATTTAAACCACCTGTGTGAGGAATCGCGTCTGGCATTTCTATACATTTGGTGCACCATTCGGCGAAGAGTAAAAATTATATGAAAAATGATGTATAGGGAATTTGCCTCAAATAATAAGTAACCTCGGTTATTTATTGCTGAGGTTATTTATTGCTGAGGTTATTTATTGCTGAGGTTGTTTATTGCTCGGTTATTTATTGCTCGGTTATTTATTGCTGAGGTTATTTATTGCTGAGGTTATTTATTGCTGAGGTTATTTATTGCTGAGGTTATTTATTGCTCGGTTATTTATTGCTGAGGTTATTTATTGCTCGGTTATTTATTGCTGGGTTGTTGAGGCAACGTAATGTAGTTGGGATTCATCTGTGTAAGGTTACACTGGCAGTATAATTTACTCACTTTATATTGCTCAAAAATGAGGTACTCAAAAACAAAACGGGTAGTTACTACGATCATGCAAACTAATAAAACTTTGACAAATAAACCAACCTCTTGCAAGAATCTTCGGATCGACAAATTTTAAATGCTCCCTTTAGCAATGAGAAACGTTCATTTCTTGTTCTGAACTCAAGCCCTTCCATTACATTATACCAAACCGGATCATCAGTTGTTAATATGATGCCCACAAATAATTTTAAAGATAATATTAAAACTGGATATAAGTAAATGAAAGAAACATTTAGAGCCGCCAATAACTTTCCATTGCAGTACAACATGTGCCAAATGATTTTCTGTATAAAGAGAAGAAGAAGTCCCATGCAAATAACCCGTTTATTGGGATTAGAACCGAATCAAGCTGCCTGCTCTTCGGCGATTATACTCGTATATCAGTCGGTGGGCCATCAGCCTAGGGGCAAGGAATAAAACTCCTAATTATTCATATTTAATTTCCTGATTTGCAGCTGAGAGAAAGTTACCTGTTACGATTATATCTATATTCCATGTAAATACAACCTACTTCACTTAAAAGAAGTGCGTGGATTATTTAATAAGATATAAATATATTATTTAATACAAACACAGAAAGTTTTATCTGCCTATCGAATTTCAAAAGGTAGGTCAGGATTAAAAAATTTAGCCTTTCCTTAGATAACTAATTACTGAGTAATAATTTCTTTTAAATAAAAATTAATATTTAGAGCCACGGAGAATTTTCCATTATTTCCTGTTCTTTTGGAGTTAAGAAAAACTGCATGTAATAATAAATTTAGTGACATAGAGTGAGTCTTAAAGTGACAGTAGATATTATCGACTAGAGAAATTTTTAAATGTCTTAAGCATTAATGTATGTACATGTATGTATGTATATATATATTCATAGAAACAAACTTACATTACTTTAATAATATATGTATGTAAGATAAAAAATATATATAAATATAAATAATAATTTAAATAAGGAATAGCCTTCAATGCTTAATTTTAATTTCGGTACTTCCCATCTGTATTCTAAAACTGGTAATGAAGATAGCTCTTAAAGGACGAGATGCTTATCTGCGTCAAAACTATTGGACAGAACCAATATGTAGATTCACAATAAGAAACAACAGAGGCAGCTTTGGCGAAAAGAACACATTAATTTATTCGTAAACATTCTTGAAATCCGCATAGTTCTTGGGCACGTGATGCACTCATTTTTTTGTATATGGCAATTTGCAATTTAACAATCAAAAATGCTGAGCACTGCTAAGCACATTTGCTAGCCACAAGCAAAGCGGAGGGAAAAGGGATGTGCAGTTAATAGCAGTAATATTTACAGTAAAAATTTGAGAGAGGTAAGGCAAGAGTTGAATGTAGATTTTACATAAGTGGCAACCCCGCCATCTCTGTGCCTGCATTTGTCACACTCGTAGGACCTGAAATTACAGAGATTCAGCCCGTCACTACGTGTGGCATGCCGCTCGGACTAATGACCAAGGCTTTGGCTTCCGGAGTACTCTGCTGAAAACAGCAATAACCTTCACAACTTCATTAAGAACGAGAACCGTTTGATAAGAAAGATTTCGACGTTATAGTCAAGAATGAACTGGTAGACTTCCTTATCTTTTGTTTTTGTATTAGCTGCATTCCGAGGAAACAAGGTAAGAGGGGAGCTACTGGTATCTGAATTATTCATTGTGAGGTACTGGGATCCTCGCTGGATTCAGTGCTGGTATGTATTGGGCTTGTCTGAGAAATTTGAAACAGTTCGTCAATGCCTGCAAGAAAGATATAAAGACTTGTCCATAAAAACAAATAGGTGGCATATCGAGAATCGATTGGGCTTTATGAAACAAAAGTGCAGATGTTATAAGAGGGTTGTTATTACGCTTATCCATAACTGGCGCTAAACTGCGCGCTGCTTGGAGACAGTTTCACGTTCACCAGGATAATATGGAATGACCAGTCTTCGTCTTCGTAGGTAGAGCACTATTTAAGTGCTATTTTTTGGTCCTGCTATTTAGATTTAAGAACATACAAAACTAAAATCTTGTGGTATAGTAGAAATAATTTTTAAGCAGCTAAAACCGAAAATCGTTTCAATCACGTTTACGCCGGTGATATGAAGTCTGTAAATTCGAGATTTAGGAGATTCGAACAGCTGTCACTCAATTATTCAGAATTCCGTTTAAATCCTCTAAGTTTTCTAATGCTGATTTTTCAAGTTTTCTGGATGCCATATATTTTGAATTGCAGAATGAAAAATAAAGACTGATTTTAATGTATTTGATTTCGATTAAATTTTAAAAAAAAAAAATGTTGGAGATTATAAACTTACCCAAGGCTTAAATTTTGATCAGACTGTTTGCAAATAAGCTAGTATTATATATGATGCTTTCAAGGTTTAGAACTATTGTGATATAAAATAATCTGGATCTGAAAGGCTTACCGTAAGCTACATTTGGTTTAATATTTAGATTGCCTCTTTTATATATAGACCACTACTGGCCGAGTAGCTGAACACTAGTAGTTCGAACCGGGGCCCGAATCCCGGCGAATTGGCTAGCTGCACGGGCGTTTTCATGGCTTTCCTCATGTGTAACGCGTATACGATCCAGTTTCCCTAACAAAGTTCTCCGCGAAGGCATCTCTCCTTTTAGGCAAATAGCCCTAGAGTGCTTTGCCATAATCAAATAAACTAAAACCAAACCTGTGTTTAAAATCCTTTATTTATTCTCCATTTTTATTGATTATTAAATTAATACTTTTTATTTAGTATTTATTAAATACATAACCATTATATAACTGGCATAATTAAGTCTTATGAACTCATCCAAAAACCTTATTGCGAATGCTAGAATGCTATTCACAGGCATAATGAATTACTATTTATAGAAATTATTAGTATCTTAATTTTAAGATAAAAATTGCTCAGTGATTTCGTTTAAAACTGTGAAGGAATTGAGACATGCATAATGAAAAAAATGCAAATAAAAGAAGACTTTAAGTAAAAGGAGGTGCTGGAATTACTAGTACCCATTAACCATCCCAGCTAGCTAGCATTCCAGTTTAATGAATAAAGTTATTTAAAACTAAGCAAAAAGTAATTTTCAAAAGGCGTAGATTTTTGAATTCATTATAAAAAAATCTACAATTTATGTCAAACTGAGGGTTTTTTCCCCCACCTGATCTTAGCTTTTATATTGCCTGTTTATCTTCCAATTAAATAAAGTTAATTTGGAATTGAGAATTTAAAAAAAATAGCGTTTTCGGAGGGGTGGAAAAGGGCCAACGTGTATGAGAGAAAAAGGTTTCCACAAAGTCCCAGGAATTTGTTTTCTAGTTCTATCTTT